CCCATTGAATCTCTCTAATACTATTCCCTGCATGTGGGAGTTTGAAGTGAAATGAGACTCATTTTGTCTTTTTTGGCCATATTGCTGTACTCCCCAAGTCTCTTTATATTATATTTCTTGCAGAAAAGCACAAAGAAATCTATGCTAAAGGAATACTAATGTAGCAAAGTGAAACATTCAGAAGTCATTAACTTTTGTGTAACTGTTCTTCTATAACTTTTAATGTGTGCAATATGATGATCTTGAATTATAGGGTGCCTCATGGTTTTCCTCTTTCTCCTTCAAGCACAGATGAGGTGTTATATACAGGATGAAGCAGTTGAGCTTTAGCCAATTATTGTTCTCATTTTTAATACAAGAAATAGCTGCCTCATTGCTCTGTGTGGCATGTACCACCTCATTGCTTGGTCAGTTCTTGACTACCATCGTTTGCATCACACCCCAAAGTACTGTGGTGATTGGATCCCTCTAGAGCACTGCTTCCCTTTCAGGGTATTTGTGTAAAACACACAGTTGTGGATGGGTGTCCAGAAGGAAAATTTGGTTTCGTTATGTATTGCATATGTGGTAGAGTTGAGAGAAACTGATGCAGTTTTAGCCACTTCTTTACTATTATTGTGTCTTGTTGTGGTGTCTTGCTGGCATCTTCTGACCTGCATCTGTGGGCTTACATTAAGAACAGTAAGAAGTTTCCACCTTGAGAAGCAAACACAATTCTTTAAGGTTCATTGTGAAAAGACACTATTATGTCTCCAGGTCAGATGAGGACATTGCTTATGCCCTGGACTTACCTTTCTGCCTTGCAAGTTTCTAGAGAGTTTCTTAACCATGTTTCACAGCAAATGTGGTGAAACTAGTCACACACACAACTGAACCTGGCAGTTCTGTGGATGTACTGGGGTTCCTGGAGGGAAAATTTTTGTGCTGACTTGTCAGGTATTTGGGGGTGCAAAATAGCTTAAATTTAAAAAGCTGTTTTAGTGCAGTATTTTTGTCTCTGGTTTGGAATGGGCAAGCTTACTTTGGCAATGCTTCATGGCTAGTGACCCACCTGACACTTGATTCAGTTCAGTTTAGCTTCCAGAAGAGTTCATAGGGAACATGAGCTGTTCAGTGCTGGTTTGAAATTCCTCTTGATTCTTTAAAGTTGACTGCTTTTTCTAATCTCTTTGCTGTCTCCTGTGGGACATACTCATTGCCAGAATTTCCTAGCACCATATGAGCCATTGGTATTTTTGGCTCTCTTTTAAATGAGTCCAGCTATTTCTGCTTGTCTGAAAAAATCTAACCATGCATGTTTAAAAAATGTTCTCACGACCACCTCTTTGCCATCCACCTGCCCCATGGCAATATCAGCTATATTTAAATGAAGTTGGCTACTTTTTTGATTGTTTGTTTTGTTTTGCTTTCCCACTTTCTAGTTTTCTGCCAAACATGTTTGGACCAGGGGCAGGAGGTAGCATGCTGAACTCAAAGCTGTTTTTACAAAGCCATCTGGAGTGCTTAGCCCTCAGCCCCCTTTTGGGTTACATGGTCTACAGTTTGTAATATTGCTGGACCAGATGCAGAAGGAGCGATGAGAATGCGAAGAACCTTCTTGTAGAGTGTCTGGGCTCCCAAATGCACTGTTAGTTGTGAAATGCTAGCACAAGCAGTGAGATTAAAGGAGGCTTTCAAATGAAGGGACTTGCAGAGGAGAGGTAATTCCAGATGCAAGAGAGTGCAGCCTGAGGAGACGTGAAGTTGTTGGAACAAAAGAAACACTAAGGGTCTTGAAAGCATTAGTTGGTTGATTGCTGTTGGACTTGATTTTACCAAAGCAGTACTGACTCTGTGATTTTAACTTGTTACCAAAATCTACCAACATTTTTTAGTTTGTATCTGCTTTCTGTCTCAGGTTGCCTTTCTGTTCCAGGAAAGGAAGACTTTAGCATTGGTTCAGGATGGCAGTTCAAAACTGTCAGAGTAACACTGTCCTTCTAAGGGTTAAATGAGCTTCAGCTGACACCTTGTCACCTTGCTTTGAATACTGGGTTGTCTAGCTGAGGGAGAGCACCTTGCTTCTAAAATGGAAGAGCTGAAACACTGGGAAGAGGCTTTTTCATGTTTTCAATTTCAAAAGAGAATGACAGCTGCTGAGATTTATAAAATTTTAAAACATTCCAATTTAAAGGGCTTTAAATATTGAATGCAGACTTTTCCATAGGCAGAGCAACCATGGAAAGAAGAAGCAGCAAAGTTTGATCCTGTTGGAAGGGCCAAAGGTGCTCTATTAACTTTGGAGGGACAGACAGCAGTCTTGTGTAAGAAACTCTGGCTTTCCTACCAGATGGTAAATTATTATGGAGCACTAAACAGTTGCAAAAGTTCAAGTCTATAAAGCATCTGGTCGGATAACTGCCAATTCATCAGTTTTGCATGATGCATGTTGTATGTATCTCATGGGCTTGAGAGGAAAGTTATAAATCTGTCAGGCTTGAAACTGGAGAGAAGCTTCATCACATTTGCTGAAAGAAGAGAGAAACTGAGAGAGAGATACCTATTCTTTAGCTGTGGTTTTTGTGTTCCTGGGAAGTTACTACTGAATGAAGGCTGTGGAGGTGCCATTCACATGGCTTCTGAGCAATTTGCGCTCAAGATACACCATCAGATCAGGCACTTCTGTTTGGTAATGGGAGTGAAAGAGGAAAAGCTCTCTGAAAGCTATTCATTCCCAATCTGGTTTGGCACATACCTAAGATGTTTTCAGCACCACCTGTTAAGTTTGTTCTCTGTCCTAATCTGAGAGAACTTGACACACATCATTAGTTTTTGACAGTTATTTTACCCCTTTGGTGATTTCCCCACCTCCTCCCAAGAAAAGTAGCTTCTTAAGATTCTGGCTGCTGTTCAGCCAGATGCAGTGCTTCTTCAAGTGTGCTTCATGGGTTTGCTTCTCCAGGCTGCACAAATTAGCATCGTAAATGCAGAATTTAGAGACACAATCTTCACTCTTAATCCAGGCTCTTCTTCCCGTTCCCGTGTGGGCTGTATCTGGAGAGCTGGCTAACACCAGGCAAACTGCTTGGGGACTGAACAGAGTTTCCCATTGGAACAGAGCTTGTGCAGCTATAAAGATACAAGTATTTGTATCTGTCTCTGCGGTGTAAGACATGTTAATGGTGCTTTTAGTAATTCTTTGGTGAGAGATGAATGAGGGTATGGAGATTGGAGAGCAACAAAGAGAACCAAGTGTGCGGGTGGTATGAAGAGCCTCTTATGCACTATTCAGAGTCTTGCTGCTGAGCTTACTTCGATTTATGCTTTCTCATTGAGGTAATAAAAGCAGGATGAGATGATCAGTATTCTCTCTGCATCTAGGTTAGAACTAGGTTATTTTGTAAAGTATTTTCAGATGTCTTGGGTGTAGAAGACATTGAATAAAGATTTCTCTGTGTTGTGTGATATAATGTGTGAAAAGATTTACTATGCAAATACAGTCACATAATGGAGAAGAATGGTGATCTGCTGTTTGTTTGTAAGATGCAATGTAAATATTTGCCTAGGTAGGTTCTCTGGAGATTCCTTGTGGATTTCCTTCAGCACTGTCATTGCTGGCATGCTTTGAGCACAGTGTTTTTGTCAAAAGTAAATCTGTTCCTAACGTGAGATGCTTCCATCAAAAGCTCAGTGGTTCTCAAAAAATAACCATACCAAAACAAATTAAAAAATGCTTCCTTCTTAAAAAAAACCCAGCAAAATGCAAAAATACCTTTGTTAGAGCATTCTTGAACATGTTCTTTAAATGTCTGCCAACACAAATAGAGCAGTGGGTTGTGCCACATACAGCCTGTGCACTTGCAGCTGTTTTGCTTCAAGGATACTCACGGAGTCCACTTGGGCTGGCATCTGCCAGCATGAGGCTTTTTCTCTATTGATTTGCCCTGTTGCCAAATTTTGGTAGCTCTTGCAGCTTAGTGAAGGAGAATCTTACCAATTTATGAATGACTTGAGCCTTCATTGAGTATCCCAGCATAAGGAGAGTGATCCCCTGCCCTGCTGAGCATTGTCACTTGGAGGAAACAGGGCCTGCTAACTCGTTTAAAATCTGTCTTAGTAGGCAGACCTTGGACTTTGAGATGAAAGCACAATGAGAATATTCTCATGAAAAGGTAAAGAAGGAAGATATACAGAAATTGTGTTCTTTTTAAATACCTGCATTCTTTTATTGTATTTAATGGAATTTTCTGTATTTCTATATCCAAACAAATGCCCAGGTTAAGCCAATTTCCAAAATAATTTGCTTATCTTTAGAGAAGGTATATCCAATCTTCAATTCTTTTAGGTAGTTCTTCTCTCAATTTTTGGAGGTTGAAGCTTAGGTGTTTGCTTTGAGTGAATCTTTTCTTTCTACTGGGACTCCGGTAGCCCTGTGAACTGGCAGCTAATTCAGTTCAGTTTCTGTCTCTCCTGCTTGAACCAACTGAGACTTGTCTGGTGTAGACTAGCCCAGCTGGATAGACCAATGTCCACTTAACATGCAGTTGACTGCAAACCACCCTACGTATGCAGTGAACTATGTCTTTGTTGTGCAAATGGATGAGGAAGGGTTACATGAGCTTAAGACAACTTCATGTATTGTAACATACAACTTCAGAAGTATTTGTTGTGAATAACAACTGAAGGATGAATAAATGACCCATAATCGAGACTGGATGTGAAGATAAATGTGGAGAAGGCTGTGCATTTATACCTTGAGAGACCCTTAAGAGAGCTTATTGGATTTGAGGCTATCAAGATAGAGTTAGCTGCTCAAGCAGGGAAGACAGTTAAATTTCACTTTTAAAGTATCTGTAATTATGTCTTTACAATGTAGTTTGGTTTATCAGCAGTTAATCTGTGTGTCGTATTTGTTCATTCTCCTTTTTTTCTCTTGCTTTGCAGGAGTGAGTCTGTGTCTGTAACACTGGATGTATTGACTACTTGCCTCAGACTGAAGAGAACTTGCTCTACTTTGGAATATGGTGCCTAACTTCTGTGTCCCAGTACTCACTGTGCCAGCAGCCATCCTTTGCTGCTTGATGCTGCCTTTAGCAGGAGCAGACAGTAAGTAACATTCAGTTTTTGAAAGCTTGAATAAATTGTAGAATTTCTTTCAACAAATATTCAAACTTATTGTTTTGTACTGGAAACACCAAGGACAAAGGGATAACCCTGACCCTCTCCCTCCCCTCCAGTCTCTTATTTTCCAGTGTGCACAGTGCAGATAAACAGTATGTGTGTGAAGGGGCACAAGTAGAACTTAAAAAGGCTGACAAAATTTATTCAAGCCCAGGAAGAGCTTCTGTAGTAGCTGCAAGATCAAAACCTGACAGTTTGATTTCTAACATGTACAGATGAGTAAAGAGAATTGGGAGCAGAGGAAGAGAGAAGTATTTGGGTCACAGTAATCCCTGTTGCTTTATTTTCCGTGTTATTTTACGAGCTCTTGTAATTTGTGTAGTACTGAGGCATGTCTCCTGAGTCAGTGGGTGACTGAGAGCTGTTGGGGTAAGGGTTCCAAGTTTTCACTTTCTGCTCTAGCTCTCCTATGCCTGTATTTCAACACGTTTCCTTGTGCTTGTATTTTAAGCTGTTGTGTCCATCCATGTCTGTTACCCTGATAGTCTTACAGTCTCAGTCTTACCCTGATAGCTGTGACTGGCTTTGATCAGCCCTATCCAGGCCAGGGAGAAAGCTGTGCACAAAAGGCCATTGTGGAGAGACGAGAAGAAATTTGGCTGATGGGAGACTACTGAAATACCTGAAAGTTGCAATTCCCATCAAATGAGTTATGCTGAGTGCAGGAACCTTGTGGTTTCTTTGCGTAGTCTTGTTTTTCATAATTCACATATGTGTGTATTTGCTAGGTTACCCCTAGGTATTTGAAGGTCCTTTCCAACCTTGATGATTCTGTGTTTCTATGAAGAAAGATACAAATTCACTGTTTTTGTCATCACTAGGGATGATGTGCACACTTAGCATGGAGTCTGTTTGAGTCCGAGTTACCCTGGTAAACTGTGGGCATCTGACTCCTTCCTCAGCTTTCCTTCCTGGTTGCTGGTACTGCTGGAAGATGCTTATTCAAAACATTTGATGTCTACACATTGTAGCCCATTTTTAAGTCTGACAGAGAAGTGTATGTTTAATGTTGTGAGGTGTATAAAAATTCCCTGAGTTCCTTATCTTTATCCTGATCTCTGAAAAGGAGAGAATTGTCACTTCATCAGGTGTGCAGAAAGAAGCTGGTGGAGCTGGAGATGTCCTAGGACAGTTCTAGGCCTAAGGATAACTTGCAGTAGACACGGTTTGCTAATTTTGTGTAATACTTCCACATGCTTAAATTTAACAAAATTGGCTCTGTTTCATAGGCCCAGGACCAGATATTGGTGTCTCAGATGTGGAATACTTCTGTGGTGAGAAGCAGGCGTATCTGTATATACGGCCTTTGCTCTGGTGCAGACTGACTCTGAATTACTTTTTCCTAATCTGGAAGGCAGATCTGGAGGAACACGACCTTTTAACTGCCACAGCCACATGGATTAATTGAGAGTTTCCTAGGATTGAAAGTACTGTTCTATTATCTAATCACAGAATCATAGAATGCCAGGTCGGAAGGGACCTCAAGGATCATCTGTTCCAACCTTTCTACATAATGCTATAGTTTATGTGAGATGGCTCAGCACCCTTAATCTTTAACCCATTAAATCTTGCCACCAACTCTTACCAGCAAGGAGCTGTGTGAAAAGGCCCACTCTGTGCCTCTGCAGCGGAAAAAATAATCCCCTGAGTCTGGGTATTTCCTGTCCTGCCATCAGTAATGCAGGCAGGCAAGATACGGTAGTGAATGTGGCATTGGGGAATCCTGGTTCAGGAGAGAAGTGAAGGGCAAGAGGAATGTGCGATAATTCATACACACTGCACCTTACTGCAAAAGCTAGAGAAGGGATGCTGTGAAAGCAGCACCACATGTGCACCCTCTTCAGTATTTTTGTTCCCTAAGCATCTCATTGGCTCCTAAGACGGTTTATTTACATGGGTTCCTGATGTAATATGGCTCTCCCTGGGATTACACTGTGATTCTTCCTTTTCCCTGTTGCAGCACTGCTTGGAGGCAGTGGCAGCATGGGTAGGCTCCATGTCTGCAAAGCATTCCTACATTTCCCCAATTAAAAGCAAGGCAATAGTGGAAGCAGGGTTATCCCTGTGAGGTTATTCCTGGTGTCAGTCACCAAAATCACTTTTTGTAGGAACAGTGAGGATAGAGAGCAGGGAAGGTGGGCTGTGACGGGCTGTGCTGCATCCCTGGCAGCAGGCTGCCATGTGGCTCAGGGCTTGGGGAGCACCCAAACCCCAGGGCTTCCCTCTCCTACCTGTGCTTCAGAGCTGCTGTTGTCACAACACATTTGTGCCCTGCTGCCGGAGCTGCCTGACAACGAGGCAGCTGGCAGATAGCTAGACGTGAGCACCTGGGATCAAACAGACTGAATATGGATCACCTAGTGGAATTAGTGCTGGGCACACGCCCGCGCTGCCTCTCCTGGAATTGAGTTCATGGGAGCTGTGAATAACCTCAGTGCTGAGGAATCAAAGGGGCATCCAAAGGTTAAACGTGTGGCAGTGTGTCAGGAAAAGGGGGCTTGAGGTCCCTTCCTGCCAGCGGGACAAAGCAGTGGCTTCCCAGCCACTCCAGTGGGGCACTGGGAGGAGAAGGTGAGTGGGAAGGGCCACGTGCCCGTGAACGGTGGATGCAGAAGTGCTAATTTGGCAGAAAACACCTTCAAATCTGCCCTGGCTTTTACAGACTGCAGTAAGAAGTTATTAAATTTTCTCTGTGATCTGACTGTTTCTGTCAGGGTGACCCTAATTCCATTACAGCAGCTCAGTGTTGATTCAGGATGGCTGTTTTACACTTCCTCCCTCAGCTTGCTTGTGTGGTGGTGTGGGTTTTTGTTTTTTAGTGCACTCCGTGCTTCCCTGTCTGTCAGCTTTTGACTGTGCATGGGGAAAATGGCTTTGCAGATTTCATTTAATGTTCTGTTCAATTGTCAGCTAAAAGGTGCTCTTTTCCAGCTTTTGGAAACATGTCATTTACTCTTACAAAATAAATAAATAAAGCAGAAACAAAAAATCCCCTCTCAAAACAAAATGCAGAGAAAACTGGAAAAAATCCATACTGGCATCACAAATGATCAGTGATGTGTTTATGTTGTTGGCATGGTTTTTTTTGTTGTTTTTTTTTTTAATTGGGTCTGTTTCTGGAGGCCTGGCTGGGCACAGCTTCCATTAACCAAAGGAAGAGACTTGGTGATCCATCCAAAGTCTTTTCTAACCGAAATATATCTTGGCTTGTCTTGCACAGAATTTCAAAGGGCTTAAGGATGAAAACCACTTTGAAAGTGACCTTGTGGAAGGAAAGAACTATGGCAGCATTAGGCCAACTACCTGTGAAGTGATATGTGGTAAAAAAAAAACAACTTGCACCTTTTGATTTCTAAAGATAGAGCAGAATTGGCTTTTGTTGGAGGGGCTGGGGGAAGCTTGCAGCAGTGAGGGGTGCTGGTGAAGGCAGGTCTCTGGCAAAGGCCCTAGGTCTGAAATGTCCCAAGGCTGTCTTGCCCCTTGTAAGAGATGGTTGATTAATGTAATTTTTAAGGCATGCATGTCATACAAGTTATCTTTTTTTAGTCAGCCATATTTCTTGGTTGCTAATTGGATTGAGAAGACACATTAAGAAAGAAAACAGGAAGGTGAGATGCTGGTAATTGTGAAGGCTGGGGAGAGGGAAGGTGTTGATGATGGCCTTTCTAGACACGTGGCTCCAGGCAAGCTCTGTTTTGCCCCCAGGATTTTGCATTGCACCTGAAGTACAACCCAGTGGTTTTCAACAGAAGAGCACTGGAGCATCTGTTAAAGCCTTTAGTTCCTCATCTGCTCAGCTCTGTTGTCTGCCTTTACTCTTTTTATGTTCCTGGGACCCAGGAGTATTGTGGCAGGTTTTGACTCCCCAGTTCAGCTCTGGTTTCTTTGCCTCATAATGTGAGTGATGCCTCAGCAGCATCCCAGGGCCACCATGCAGGACTAAATTGCTGTTGTGTAAGTCTGGAAAACAGCCACTTTGTGGAGCTGAGCCACAGTATCCTATCCCAAAATCTGGACCTGAAGCTTCTCCACTGCTGCCTTCCTTTTCTCTCTGCTTGCTGGTTTCTTTGTTGACATCCTGTCTCCAAACACAGCACCTAGTGATTATGTGTAATTGGTACAATTGGATCCAGGTATTGCAACACAGGTAAACACTAATTTCCTGAAATTCCACCTTGACTTGCTTGACAAATTTCATCAATGAAAAGAACATGTAAAATACCGTTTAGGAAAAAAAACCTGTACCTGAGACACTGGCGTCATTAAGGACAGGTTGAAATATTAACCACAGTTATTGTGCAGCTTTATTTTTTGTCCTTATTCATGTATTTAGGTATAAATAGATTCCACACTTTTCCTTTAAATATGTGAATGCTGCCTGCTTGTAATGGAGTGCTGCAGACACAAGGTAGGAGGGATGCTGTGAGAACACTGTGTGTAGAGTAGACAACAGATCTTTTTCTGCATTTATAGATGTGCCCCTTTTAGCTCCAGCACTTGCAGGAGTCATGTGAATTTGTTTGGGTTGTTACCTAAAATAGGTCACAATGTTGTAATTTTTTAAAATTTATTCTTAAAGCCAGCATCATTCATCAATCAGTATCAGCTGCTAGGTGAAAGGTCTGCTGAGCCCCAAATCTCTTAACCAGCAATGGTCAGTACAGTGACTACTGGAGGATGTAAGAACAGCATAAATACACAGTGATTCTTTCCTGGTGTCCTCTTGCAGCCTTCAGTGACCCATGCCTTCTGAGCCCAGAGAGAAGCAGTGTGATAATTTGAGGAAGAGTTGCTCTGGATTTTGCTCTTGGGCAGCTCTTAAGCATGTTATCAGTCATCAGAGGTGTGCTGGGGCCATTGTCTTGCATGAAGACCACCGTGCAGGCTCTGACTTCTGCCTTCACACCGTAGCTCCTTGTTTAATT